TGGATTCACGTTAGTATGTTAAACATTGTAATTGTGGTAAATACATATTGTATATAAATATATATATTAAATTGAAATATATCAATATGATAGTAATAAATTTAATCATGGAAATATGAACCATTGTGTTCAACTATTAAATATGTAAGTAATAGATAAACCCCAATACTGAAGTGTTTCTGGCTAAAAATTGATAAGTGCATCGTCAAGGTAATTTCAAACTAGAAACTCTGAGGAGGTGGCCGTTATCTAACTTAAACCACACGCCTTTGTATCAAAAGCAAAAGGCAATGGTTTCTGAAAAGTTCTGTGAGAACTATGTGCTCTTTGTACTTTTTATTTGAAAAAAATGCATACTATTTCCAATATTGTCTAATGTGATCATTGCTATGTAATAATAATAATAATTTTTATTGCAAAATTTGTACATGTGTTATATAACTTATGTGTAGATGAACGATACGCCAATAAACAGACAAACTGACCAGAATGTAATCACAGGCAACTTGCTGCATTCCCTCAAATTCAAGGTCGAAGGAATCTCCCTTAAACTTAAACTTGCTTAATTTAGGTTGACAAAAAAAAATAGCAATTACCAAATAATCAGTCAGAGTTTTGGATATGATATTCCAGTCATTCTCAAAGACAAATCATAATGATCTAGCGATATTTTTGCTCGTTAACACAAACATTTCAATATTTTATCAATCGTTCCTTCAGGCATACCAAGGCAGATTTTATTCAAACATGGAATTTACATCACTCATGGTGCGTTATTTTGCATGTCAACTAGTTTTGCGATTTATTTCAAAATGACCGACTGGCACATATTTTTTTTCTTTTTTTTTTCTTCACGTTTTCTATTCATTTCACAAAAGCGCTTGTCTCGATTTTGTTTGAATTCATTGCAAAGAAAAGACATGCTAGTAATTGGTTGCATGTTCTATTTTTGGATTTTGATGAAATTTAACCGATTTGTCACAAAATTTTAACACGTCGACTTTTTCTCGGACATGCCTTGACTGATTTTATTCAACAAGAGCCAACCTTTTTTCAAATGTGTTTGATCAGGTTACATTCAAACTTGATATGAACAAAACTTCTGATCTGTTTTGTTCTAAGTTCTAAGACATAATGTAACCATGTAGTTATTGATGATACTAGTATGTAAGGCCATATATTTTGGACATTTTAATAACTCAAAATCCAAAGTCGCAGCAACTATTATACCTAAATACATGTCCCAAAAACTAAACTCAAGTGATATGTGTTCATATTGTCCAGTGGCTCTTATGATTCTGTAATACAAATTATTGGTAATGTGTGTGTATTAATTAACAATTTGTCAAATAAATCATAATGAATTTGACTGTTTAAAGTTATCATATGTTGATACTACCAGGGCTACTTTCCAGTGTCTATGCATTGAGGGGAATGTTAGGGCAGCGTCAACTAAAAATCACACCCTTTGCTGTGTATAAGGTCCAGAGTGCCAGGCAGTTGAATTCGTAGGGGATTGTGGTAACTTCTCACTTGGACACTTGAAACTTTGGAACATGCCTTGCCAGATACTTTTCCGGGATACTTTACTATATGCTAATTGCTTGATCATTAGAGAAAACACTGGTAGTTTGATGTTTACCTGGATGGTGTTGCTTCCAAAATGAATGTTTGCTGTACTTTATCAATGTATCAAGGTTACTTATTATTTTCGACTATTCCTATTGAAGAATTTTTTTTTTAGCTCCGCTGTCGACTTTGTTGAGCGGAGCTTATCATATGAGTGAATGTCCGGCGTCCGTCGTCCGTGTCAATGTTTTACTTTTTCGACTTCTTCTTGAAAACTACAAGCCTGAATGCTTTGATACTTGGTGTATATGTACCTTGGGTAGACTTCTCTTAGATTTGTTCATTTCATGATGATATCTTCAATTCTCTAATTTTAGTGAATATTTTTGGTAAAAAGTGATATTTTAAACTTCTTGTTAAAAACCGCAAGTCCAATTGCTTTGATATTACATGTATAGGTACTACATGTGGTTCTAATTCAGATTTGTCCATTTCATGATGATATCTTCAATTCTCTAATTTTGATTAATATTTTTGTAATTTTTGGTAAAAAGTGATATTTTCGACTTCTTGTTGAAAACCGCAAGTCCAATTGCTTTGTTATTACATGTATAGGTACTACATGTATAGGTCTGATTGTTTTGATACTATACATTTTGTTCATTTTCTAATGATATCTTATGTTCTTTAATTGAAATGTGCATTGCTAACAATTTTTTTTATTTTATTTTTATGGCAAATAAACTAAATATAAAAAGTTGGAAGAGCGTACATTCGAGGTTTACGAATTTCATGAAATTTGTCATAAACTGTTAAGAAAAGAATAGTGTATAAATGACATTCATCGCGTTGACCATAAATAACGAACACACAAACGTAACCAAAATGGCTTCCACTCTTGACGATTCTTTGACAGAATTGATTTCAAAATTAAAATTCAGCGAGTCTGCGAAGATCCTTACAGATGGTTTGTTACGCATTCGAAAAGAATTTATTCGTCGGTCTGATGGAGTAGAACGTTTTCGGCAATTGGGAGGTCTAAAGCCATTGCTTAATTTGGTGAAGAAGCCAAACGACCAGATCGTTGACATTTCGTTGAGCATTTTAGCAAATTGCTGTTTGGAAGAAGAGACCAGAAGACAGGTAGGAATTTTGTTGGTTTTACAGGATTACTCAGAAATCATCGAATAAATTAAATGAGATTTACGGCTCAAGTTTGTATGTAATTGTTTAATTTTCGCTTATTGCGGGGTGTGCGTACGGAACTGTGGTGGCGCTCTACATATCGACTTACTGGAGACGGTCTGTAAAATATATTTTCATTAGGTATTAAGCTGTATGGATGTATTTAAAAAAATAATAAACTTAATGAAATAACGTTTTTGTTTTCAAAACATTGCAAGTTTCTGAAAAGTTAAAAAGAAAAACAAATGAACAGAAATTTTTTCTCCAACTGAGTAAAAATGAAGGTAACAAGGTTAGACAGATCGAGAACATTTATAAAAAAAAAAAATTCTATTGAAGAGAGTAAGTCTTTCTTCTTTTTGTTTTTTCCTATTTATCTATTTTATTGCTAAAAGACTGATAGACATTTTATTTCTAAATATGCAATAAAAAATTATTCTTAATAAACTAAAGTTTCTAATTGTCATATCCTGAAACTCGACTTATGTAATGATCAATGCTTTTTTACATTTTATTTATACAATAAAGATTAATTCACACATTAATTGAGTTCAAAATTAAAAAGGTGATGGTCTAAATTTAAAAGACTAAAGTTTACAGTCAGTATCCCAATCTGTTGCTCACTAAGTGGCATCGGGTGATACAGGGTCAAGATCAAATAAAACATGGATTCACGTATCAGGTCATTCTTTGAATGCATCCAGATGACCTTAAAGTTATACCTTTCAAAATGGCGACCGTTCTCACTGAAGGTCCATCAATCTTATGCATTTTCTTGTGTTAACAAGATTACAATCAAAGCATTGTCTCAAAACAAATTCAATAATTATTATTAATACATCTGTAGTTTATGTTTGATTTAAGTTAATGTTTTGGTGGATTTGTTACAAGTCAAATGCATGCAAGTGTTAGTACCTGAATGGTGGTACCTGCGATCTCTGAGTAATTATAACCACACAATTCGTACTGTGGAACATGAATCAAACATTTAATTGTATGACCTGTTTTTTTCTTCTTCTATTTCTCTTGCTGATTTCCTCTTAGATTTGTATGTATCAAACAGAGCAAACTCAAAATTTACCATTGTAAGCCACGATGACAGGTCACGCAATTAAAGCGAGGGAGTCGTCACCTGTGCATGCGTCAAATCGCCATAGCGTGTCATTGTTTACAAACAAGCGTCTACACATGAGCCTTTTTTAGCGTGCGTTGTTATCGTCGCTTGGGACGCAATTCTGCGCGTGCGCAGGTGACAACCCTCCTGCTTTAATATAATGTAAATGAATCAAGTTCTTACTGATCTAATAATGCAGCGTAATATTCATCATCCAAGATTTGTTAAAACAATGAGTGGAAGATTATTTCAAAATAGTAAAAGTCAGTAGACAATAAATTGCAATCTGAGGCGTTTGTCAAAATCGCATTACAGTCTCACTACCATGTCTACGTTGTGCAGCATGTCTCTTGTATGCAAATGAGGAGCCTCAATGTGAAATGCTATAAATCACTAATAGTTTGCAGCAACTTAGAAACTGATTTTTTTAATTAAAATATTTATTTTGTACTCAAATATAAGAATAATATTCACATACCAAGAAGTGATTATCGACAACAAGGTAGCAAGCGTTTCACTGGCACGCTAAATCTATACTAGTATCTCACTGGGATGAATATTTATTTATTTATTTATTTATTTATTTATTTATTTATTTATTTATTTATTTATTTATTTATTTATTTATTTATTTATTTATTTATTTATTTATTTATTTATTTATTTATTTATTTATTTATTTATTTATTTATTTATTTATTTATTTATTTATTTATTTATTTATTTATTTATTTATTTATTTATTTATTTATTTATTTATTTATTTATTTATTTATTTATTTATTTATTTATTTATTTATTTATTTATTTATTTATTTATTTATTTATTTATTTATTTAATTTCTTTTCGTTAATTGGTTTAATGGCTTCATTTTTCTTTATTCTAGATTAATGTTTTAAAAGGGATCCCTGTAATTGGTAAGTCATACAACATTTCTATTTAATGCTCCATTCGAAACAATAAGAATGTCCACTGTGTAGACAATGTTTTGAGAACTATATTGGTGGCTGTTCATTTGCATTTAATATTTCGATTATCTGCATAACATACGCGAATATCTCATAAGTATTTTTTACCCAAAATTTTAACATCAGGTTATTATATTAAAAGTTGGTATCTTTAATGTTATTTGGTCCGTGAATATTCATACAATTTGTTTTTCTTAACATAATTTTCAAAAACATGAATTGATTTATTATGACATACATACATTGATTGGATTGGATTGGATTGAATATTCTACACTGAATGATATAGCTGTGATGGTATGCATGAATTATATATTCTACGCTGACTGGCTGATGATATATTTGTTTGTTTTTTAGTGTGTATTTTGAAATCACTGAAGTCAAACAGTATATTAAATAGAGCTTCAAGAGCGTTGGCTAATCTAGCTATCAACCAAGACATAGCTGAAGAAATTCACAAGGAAGAAACTCCAGTCATATTAGTGAAACTTCTAAAAGACTCTGAGGACGATGAATGTCGACAAAGCCTTATTAGAGCTCTGAGAAACTTGTCAAAAACTGATGAGCATAGAAAACAAGTTGTGGAAGCTGAGGGACTTGAAACAATTGCTGAATTACTGAAATGTAAACATTCTGGAGTTGCTACGGCTAGCGTAAGAGCAGTAGCTGAAATTACAAAGAATTGTAGTTTAGAGTGTGCACGACAAGTAGTGCATAGCGACGGTTTTGAGGTTTTGGTCAGAATGGTGTGTCATCCCAAAACTGTGATCCGTGAACACGCTGTGATGTCCTTGTTTCATTTGATGACGCATCCTGTTGTTCGTCCATTTGTTGGAAGTGCTGGAGGAATCAAAACATTCATTAATGACATTAAGCGTTCAACGAGTACAATGACTCAGTCGATACAGTTGCTTTGTCTGTGTTGCAGAGATGTCAACAACCGTGTTGCGATTAGAGATGCAAATGGACTAGAGCTATTGCTTGAGATGTTAAAATCATCTGAGTATTCAAGTCATCATGAAAGAATTATTGCATCCTTTCTGTGTTTTATATATGATGAGCCGAGTTTAGAGGTTATGATTACCAATGATGTAGTGTCGATACTTTTAACTCATTTGCGAGAATCGGTTACTCCAAGTAAACTTTCTCTCGATATAGAGTATGAAGACCAAGAAGAAGAGAAAACAAAAAGAAATGAACCAGAGGAAGTGGAAAGTAATGTGAAACCATTTATATTGATTGATGACTCAGACACAACAAATGCCTCTGGAGAATTTTTGACACCACAAAATAATCGAAAATGTCCTTCTGGATTAATAGTTGATTCTCCAGTATCATCACCACTGCTATCAACAGACTTGGCTACGTCCAGTAACTATTCTCCCTATTTGTCTCCACCAATGAGTGATCATGGTTCTGACACTTATAGTTTATCTCCACCGCACCCATGTATGTCATCACCACTATGGTCTCCACAGGGAAGTATTGCATCAATATATTCTGATACCTCCAGTCTTGATGGTGGCTTCCTACCATGCATGTCACCAGTCAGCTTCAACGATGAGGGATCAACCATCCAAGATAGCCTGGATTTGTCTTGTGTTTCTAGTATGGAACAGCAAGGCAATGATGAAGTGGATAATGAAAATGACGTATATCTGCAGACAACTGACAACATGGGGATTGAGGCTGATGACAAAGACAACAAAGCAAATGATCCTGATGATAGTGAAAATGTAGTTTATACTGAAGCAAATGGAAAGACGGCGAATGAAGCTGATGGCGATGAATATGGAATAACTGAAGCCGATAACATTGAAAATACAGTAACTGAAAACGAGGTAAATGAAGCTGATGATTGTGAAGACGAAGTAGAAAATGATAACAATGAAGAACTACAAAGTGATAAAGTTGCAATAAAAAGTGCTCAGTCTGCTGGAGCTGTACTTAGTAATCAGGACAGTCCATTGAAAACTTTTCAATTGGTGAATGTTGACATGATTCAAACTGGTCATATCCCAGATTCACATTGTGAAGTCATGTACTGTGTAAAGGAATCACAAAGCAGTGACTTAGATATTGGTGAAATACAAGACAAGTGCAATGATGATTCCCCCAAACAAGCTAAAAATGTTGTTCACAATATATTACTATTTCTATCAAGAATATCCCAGATGGAAGATCCTAGCAGTGTTCTAGTTACGGAGAATTATCTGACATCTTTGCTAGAGTACACCTCAACTGTCGCGGACATGTCAAACAGAGCTGTGAGGATACTGACACGATTGACGAGGAATCCGCATTGCTTTGAAGCAATGATTTTAAACAATGCACCATCAAAAATTCATTTAATCCTGGCGGCAGCCAAGGAAAATGAGTCATCACAAACTAAGCAGTGGGAACAGATTGCTGAATTGTTAATGAAAAATCTTGGCATACAGGCAGAGACTCCATATGGACAAGGTGTTATGGCGCATAGCTTGCTATCAAAAAGTCATAAAGAGAAATTAGCCGCAGCCATGGCAGTACCTTATGTGTATAGGTAAGTCATAATAATATTTATTAAGGTTGCTTTGTATGATCTGTAAAAAAACGCTTACTAATCTTTGTAAACATCATAAGAGCTTAATTCAAAAATTTTGTTGTGGCAATTTCGTTTTTTTTTTTTTTTAAATGGGGCTTTTGTTGACTGTGCCTCTGATTAGCTTAGAGTGATGACATTCCAACTGCACTCGTTTCCATCATGTCATATTTTCTCTATTAAGAATTACATCTCCAATGGAAACACATGTAAGCAAACAATTGCCCTTTTTAGCTCCACTGTCGACTTTGTCAAGCAGAGCTTATCATGAGTGATTGTCCGTCGACCGTGTAAACTTTTTACTTTTTCGACTTCTTGAAAACTGCAATTCTTATTGCTCTGATACTTAGTGTATATGTACCTATGTAATTCTCTAATTTTGATGAATATTCTTGTCAGTGATATTTTCTACTACTTTTTCTGATTGCTTTGATGTTATACATATAGGTACTTCAGGTAGACCTGTCTCAGATTTGTTCGTGTCATGAAGATATCTTCAATTCTCTAATTTTGATGAATATTTTTGTCATTTTTGGTAAAAAGTGATCAATATTTTCGAATTCTTGTTGAAAACAGCAAGTCTGATTGCCTTGATACTATATATATTGTTCATTTTCTGAGGATATCTTCAGTTCTTTACCTGTAATTGAAACATGCATTGCTAACAGCAGAGCTATCTCAGCCGAGAGGTTGCTTGTTTAACCGTAGACACACCTAATTATTTCCCTTTTGCTTCCTTCTTCAAACAATTCCTGATTCTATTCATTGCAGTCATATAATTTACAACCACCAACAGATCCGCATATCAATAACTATTTTTTTTTTTGTACACCCTTGCTAATAAATTTCTTCACTTGGTTTCTCTTTTGCTAGCAACTGTAGTCAACGACGGAAGATGTTACTAGAGTTAAATGGTTTAGAAATACTCTTAGAATCAATTAAAGTGAAGGATGAAACAACTGTCAGCTTGGTAATTGGATCGTTGTCACACCTTGCAAACACTATTGGTATAACCCCTCCTATTGTGCCAAAGATTCCTCAACGCAGCAAGACACATACTTGTTATTATAATGAGCAGCAGTCTAGTTTTGATGTAATGTTTATAATAGAGGATACTAAGATACCTGCCAATAAGCAAAAACTATCTGAAGAGTGTACTTTCTTTTCAGCCATGCTTGTTGGTGCATATAAAGAAGCTAAACAAACAGAGATCAACATCAATCAAGTTTCACCTCAAGCATTTTCGTTTCTCATGCATCACTTGTATGGATGTTTGTTGGACAGCTGTTCAACCATGTGGCGTTTATTAGATACTACTCAAGATAATTTAGAACTTGAATTAGTCGCTTGTTCAGATCGTTTTATTGTACCAAGCCTATTCCATACTGTGCATGATGTAGTTTTATTTACTCACATGAATTTGAATTCTTTGGTTCAGTTGTATGTATTTTGCTCAACGCATCATAGCCATTTACTGTGCCAAGAATGCCTAGAGTATTTGGTGTGCCAGAAAACCAATTTCCACCTCAGAGTAGCCATGTTTAAAGAAATATTTCGTTGTCAGGGAAATGAAAGTGTCTGCGAGGAAATTAGCTTACTTTTGAAAAAGTATTTGTAATTTTTTTTTTTTCCAATTCTATTAACGTCATGCCATTGTGACGAATCTGAGGACTTGTCAATCAGAAATTGTTTTACTTGTTATTTTAGAGGAGGGATTTTAAAACCAAAGATGAGCTTACAAAGCAGGCATCTCCTTGTGAACCAAAAACGATTGTTTTTTTTTTTTATTTTGGAAGTACACTAAACTTGTACTTTTCCATTTATGTTAACCTTTAATTTCCTCACTAGAAGCACACATGAGCCAACATTTTTTTATTTATTGTATGCAGCATCAAAATGTAGTTAGACTGCACATGACACATCTGTTATCATCGTCATTTGTATAATGCAAATCAGTTTAATATCGCAAGAGACAAAATTCTATTGCAGTGAACATTTCTCTGTGGTCTTGTTACACAGAAATTTTGTCCTCATAAAAAAAATCTTGAAATCATGGAAAGTTTTTAGAAGTGAAAATAAATCAGTTTACAGTAAGTAATTCTGTTTTAGTAATGAAGCATAAAACTACTGATTTTACTGAAACAATAGCAATCAAAGTCAGATCTATGATGTCATACCCCAACAATTTGTCCATCTAATTATGTTGCTTACATTCTCTTACATTTGTGGAAATAAGTGCAATTTGCACATCATGAACAAATGCCAACAAGCCTACATAATTCTGACATACCCAGTAATAAAACTAAATATAACACACACAAACCTGTAAATAGTGAATTACCATGCATACATGTATTCAATTAAATAATGTTAACAAGATGTGTAAATATTATCAGTATTTTTTTTTTCAATAATAAACACTGATAGTGTTGTTCTTTATACTGAACTACATGGGTACACTTATTGAAAATATTTACCAGAATCTAAATTATTTAATTTAGTATTTTTTTTAATATTAATTGTGAAGAAAGTAGTACTTCACTGAAAGATTGGATGTTTTTATTTATTTTTTTACATTTGAATTAAGTACATGAACTATTGAAAATAAAAATATAATTTATTTCAAAAAAGTCTTGTGATGATAGTCATGGGTAATATTTTTCAAGTATATGAACTATCAGATGACAATGTAATTTATTACAAATAGGACAATTGATATGATCTTGGGTATATTTTTTTTGAAATGGTTATTGTGAAGAACCAAACACTATAGTCTTTGGAAGAACATACTTCATTAGAAAATGATTTTATTTTTTTTATATTTTAACTAAATTGTGAATTCTTTAAAAGTGGTGAAAATGCAATTTATTTGAAATGAGTCAGTTCATAGTAACTTTGGTTTTCTTGTTTATTAATCGTGAAGAATACTTCACTGACAAAAATTTTTATTTATTTTTGCATTTTAATTTTACTTGAATAAATGAACTATTAGTGATGGGATTGAGTTGACAATACTATGATTTAATTCATTATGCAAAATATCATGCATGTATTTTGATAATAAATGTTTTATTCAAAGGGACAGTGATGTCATAACTGCACCTATGCATGCAAGACTAAAGCACAGCGCCCTCTGTTGATGAATTGATTAAACATTCAAAATTTGTGTGCTGCAAAATATTTTAGCAATAAAAAATTTCTGAAATGCAATACAGACTGTGATATCCAGTACCCAACCACATGGACATTGTCTTTGAGTAGGGCTTGGTTATGTATATGTGCAGTTATGACAAGTGTCCCTTAAAAATTTATTTTAATTTATTGAAGTGGAGAAAATAGTTTAATTGAAATATTATCTGGAAGTTGATTCAGAGAGAGGGTTTTACTTTTCCCAGTTGCCATACACGATTGAAACCAGTGACCCAAACAATTTGTATTATTGATGTAGCCATATGTGAGAGTTTGAATCCAACCAAGAACACATTTTTGTGTTTCTTCATTTATTTCCATATTACTGTGTATAATGTTTGTACACAAACTCGTGGACAGTATTTATTCTAAATGCACTTTATACCAAGTGTTTAATTTCTATATTCCTAGGTTCTGGCTAGCACGGCCCCTATCACCATTCCACCGAGAACATGCCTTGAATGTTCCAGGGTTTGAAGGTTCTGGCTAGCACGGCCCCTATCACCATTCCACCGAGAACATGCCTTAAATGTTCCAGGGTTTGAAGGTTCTGGCTAGCACGGCCCCTATCACCATTCCACCGAGAACATGCCTTGAATGTTCCAGGGTTTGAAGGTTCTGGCTAGCACGGCCCCTATCACCATTCCACCGAGAACACGCCTTTTGTTTCCCAGAGTTATAAAAGTTCTGGTCAGCATGGCCCCCTATCACCATTCTACCCAGAACATGCCTTGCGTTTCCCAGGATCTGAAAGTTTTGGCCGGCATGGCCCCTATCACCATTCAACCTAGAACATACCTTGAATGTTCCAGGGTTTGAAGGTTCTGGCAAGCATGGCCTCTAACACCATTCCACCTAGAACACTTGTGCTCTCCAGGGTTTGAAGCTTCTGGACATCATGGCCCCCCATCACCATTCCACCTCGCACCAAGATCTCGTGGTTTGTAGCATTACACAATTCAATAAACGTGTCTCATTTGGAATATGATTTTATTTAAAATTAATTTGTTACAGTATGTAAATTGTTATTATCTTTACATAGAAATACAACCAAATTACCATGACAACTAAAAGGACCAGTGAAGTGTTATTCACTTGATCTTGTTGAATGTGATACAAATACATGTGTACTACTAAAATTAAAGCAGGTGCCAAAATAAACAGATCAAAAAAACTTGTCTCCCCATCAGTGTTTGTTTTTGGCATTTCCAATTCCAACAAGCTCCATCAAAGACCTCAGTCAGTGTAAAAGAATAAAGTCTAACTTAGAGTGAAGGAATTTTGAATTCTATGCTTAAACACACTGAATTTGATCACAAACATAGAATTTAATTTCAAATTTGAGCAGCTCAGTCAAATAAAGTCGGACAATATGCAATGCAAGTAAAGCATTCCTTCTCCCTGATGGTTTAAGGAAAAGTCATCAACACTGTTGGAAATGTTTGCATAATATAGAAATGTATGCAACAAGGAAGACGAATAGGGAGATAGTAGTTTGCCGAATTAATTTTTTTCTCTGTCTCGCTGTAAGCATCACACTACACAGTTGCACCAGGGAATGAAATGGATATAAACACAAAAGTTTCCATTGACATAGTGTTACACTGGCATTCATTGTAAAGTGGCTAACAGACTAAAAATCAAGATTTTCTACTCCAGGGGAAATTTTTCTTGTCCAAAGGAGTGTATTTGACTAGTATTGTTGAATAAAAAAAATAGTGAATGAAATAGCATAACAGTCAGCAAGGAATTGCAAACCCTAAGTTTTTCATGACATTTTAACTTATCACTGAATGGCATAAATCAACAAATACATTGTTCTTTATAAGCGCATAACTGCAAGTTCGTTTTTTTTTCAAATGCACCGTCACAGCGACTCTGTTGAAGTATAGTATCATCACAGTCTCAACTTTGATCAAGCCCCTCCTCTAAAGATATATTTTGGCTGTGTCCAATTTTTTGTATTTCTTTCATGGTTGCTGGGTGCAAATCAATATTTGGTGGAATTTGCCACATGCGTAGTTATAACAATATTCTCCCTTAAAACAAAAATTCTTATTCTACTAAAATCAAATTCTTAATTAGTGTAATTATAATTGGGCGATTTAAGATTTTTTGGTTTTAAAATCCAATGCTACAAAAACTATACCGATGCAGGTAACATCCGACTCTAACCTTAAAAAAATATTTTAAATAAATTTTGACATGACCATTTACTACATTGCTAAATTTAAAGACTATGCACAACATTAGTCGATATTAAAATCAATATTGACACCTGACAAATGATTCCACAGTCACAATGTTTCTTACAAACTAACATGCAAGATCACATGATTTCCCATAATTCTAAATGGGTAACGATGGAAATATTATCTCTTCTTAAAATATATGACCTTTGCAGACATTTTTATGTTCAGCATTCAGTCACTCAAAAAATAAATGCTTGATGTAAATAATTATAACCTTTCTAAAAATTAAAATTAACCAGTTACTTTAAAATATGTGTGCAATTAAAGAAAAGAGCACCAATCGGTTTTATAATATACGGTTTTAAAGGAAGGAATGCCTAAACTGGGATAATTAATAATTCACAAAAACTATCTTTAATTTGCATAAATCTCCCATAATACATTTCAATCAGCCAATTATTTTCCTTTCTTAATTCTACCAATAATCAGTGCTTCTATTCAACTTTTTTCAAAGCTAAGAGGCGACTATGCATACAAACCACAGAAATTAATTAATTGTATCGGAAAATAAACATTGAAA